TTAGATCTTTAATCCATTTGGATTTTAATTTAGTGCATGGCGAAAGATAAGGGTCTAATTTTAATCTGTGGCAGGTTGACATCCAGTTTTTCCAACACCATTTATTAAAGACGCTATCTTTCCTCCACTGAGGATGGTGAGCTCCTTTGTCAAAGATGAGGTAGCTGAGTACATCTGCATTTGTTTTTGTGTCTTCCAGTCTGTTCCACTGATCCTCAGCTGAGCTGTATTCTTAAAAATAGTTAAAGCAGTGCCGCCACCTGCTTGAAAGTGCAAGGTCCTGAGTTTTATCCCTGCTACCAACAAAACAAAACAAAACAAAACAGTTAACATGATTAAAATTTGCTATGTGTATTTTACTGTAATTTTTTAAATGAAGGCAGCAGGCTGCATTTGTGCCATAGGCCACAGTTTGCCAATCCCTCGTCTAGTCAAGACTTACTGAAACCCCTCAGCGTTGCATCCCCAATACTGTAAACAAGAGCAAGTGCAGTGGAAGATGATGACCCTCAAGACGAAAAGCTGATAATCTGAAATTCTAATATTGTTGAGGTAATTACTTCTCCAAAATACCAGGAATCACACAGGGTTTATTTGTGGTATCACTTATCATTGAGGTGCAATGACGTCCTGAGTTGCCAGCTATGCTGGGTGCTACACCATTAGGCTTCCAGAGAATGCTCTCAAGTGGTTTTTTTTTTTTTTCAAGTGAATTTCTTGTTTGGTTTTTTGGTTTGTTTGTTTTTTGAGACAGGGTCTCACTATGTAGTTGAGACTGACCTGGACTCACTATGTAGCCCAGGCTGGTCTCGAACTCACAGCGATTCTCTTGACTCAGCCTCCCGAGTGCTGGGATTACAGGCATGCGCCACCACACCCAGCTTTCAAGTGAATTTCTAAAGAAAAATTTAGGCACCAAAAAGTATTATTAATATGTTATAGAACATTGCCTGATGTTCTCCTGTCGTAGAATTATTGATCCCTTTGAGCCTTTTAAAAATTATTGATAGATATCAAATAAGAAAATTCAACAAAGTAATGCAATGCAAATTCATTCCAGAAACTAGGCTTTTAGCACATCTTCCAGACAAACTGGAAGCAATGTGTTCCCCATCTAGTGAGTTCACCTTAAGACTTAATAAGGCGTGAGGCTTACACCAAAGAAGAGCACAGGTTTCCCGGAGCAAAGCTGTGGACTTGCACATTAAGACCTGCCCCACCAAGTCGGCAGTGCCCACCCTGCCTCCCGAGCTGCACCTTCTGGAGGGACATGGAGTGTCTGAGTGCACGCTTCACCTCCTGGGGACTTGACACAAGTAGAAATGCCAACGTAACAAAGAAGATAAAGGGCAGCTTGGTTCATTTCAGAACGGAAGCCGAGTGTACCGAGCAGGAGAGCAAGAGGAGGAACAGGACACGGCCATGTGTCCATTAGTCAGAAACGTGTGTACTCAGCAGTGGTGACGTGCACAGCTTTCTTCTCCCCCTGGAGCCCAGAGTTTGTGTGAAGTCAGGTCCACATGGCCACTGTGGCCATGTCTGTCCCCATAGGAGCAAGCTACTCTCTGCTACAACAGGACTTAGAGCTCGGACTTTAAACTTGAGTAAACCTATGACAACCCAGTAGAGGTCAGCTCGCTTGCTCTATGTTGTGAAGAGCCCACCATTCACGTGAAAACATATACTTCTGACAAATACCTTAGTATAGGAGTTCATACCCATGGATAGGTTCAGAAAGGCCACAAACAGAATGTGCTGGAATGGCTGTGGGCACATGCCTCTTGAGGAAGGTCTATACGTTTGGCCAGATTCTCAAAGTGGTGTAGGGTGAGAAAGAAAAAGAAAGAAAGAAAGGAAGGGAGGGAGGGAGGAAGGAGAAAAAGAGAGAGGAGAGAGACAGAGAGGGAGAAAGAGAGACAGCAAGGAAGAGAGGAAGGAAGGAAGGAAGGAAGGAAGGAAGGAAGGAAGGAAGGAAGGAAGGAAGGAAGGAAGGGTGAAAAACAAGAACCATGAAGGGAATAAATTGCAGAACCAAGTTACACTGGACTCACTGAACTCAAAGTCAGTCATTTTGTACTACAAATTCTTCTCTACTCTGGGCTGGCAGTGTGGCTCCCAGGAAGAATTTCCTAGAGAATACAAGGCTCTGGGTTCCATTCCCAGCCCTGAAGAAAAAAAAAGCGTAGAATTTCCTCTGCTGCCAACTTTAATTTAGCTTCAATTCCCAGTGAGAAGCACATCATTTTAAGACTATCCTTAGCTTCCAAGACTAGCCATGTACCAAGGTACGCAGAGGCTGAGGCAGGAGAATGACTTGAGCCAGGATTTCTGGCCAGTCTCAGCAACATAAAAAGACACCCATCTCTTTAAAAACAAAACAAAACAAAAAAAACCAAAATGGCATAGGGATGAGGATGTAGCTCAGGGGTAGAGTACTTGCCTGGGATGCATAAAGCCCTCAGTTCAACCTTTTGTTCACGGAGTTTTCTGTACCTGACTTGGGGTCCACTTGAAAAGGTAGGATGCGCTTGATGGGATGAGGCTCACGAGGCAGCTCCTGGGTGGCTCGTAATGGTTCTATCCCTCGTGCTGAGGTGATGACAGCAATGCGTGCAGGGGAATGAGGCAAACACATGGAGACAGGAGGGTGAGGTGAACAAAGAGAAAACACGTTCTACTGCCACAAAGAGCACATATCATCAATAGTATTAGTGTGTTTGCCCAATATATGTTTATAGAAATCAATAAAATAAAAATGGACTTATCTGTCTATGTAGGTAAATTTAGGGATAGCCTACTTAACCTATAAATACATGAAATGACTTCTGAAAGGCCCTACGAACAAACGGCAGGGTTCAGAGATGCAGGTAATAATCTGTTCATAGATCTTGTATGCTGCTTGCATGAGTTTAGTTTGTGAAAAATCACTAGGCTGCACCCATACAGTAAGGGAACTTTTCTATATGTATTTTATACTTCAACTTTTATTTGATTTTTTTGTTTTGCTTTATACTTTAGTATTTAAGCTTTTAAAACATTTTCAAGGTTTTTTTGTTTTGTTTTGTTTGAGACTGTCTTTCTAGGTAGTTCAGTCTGGCCTCAAACTTACAGCAATCTTCCTGCCTCAGCCGTTGAGGGGCAGGTGTGTGCCACTAGGCCTAGTTTTTTAAAAAATTGTTTTAGTGGGCTAGGGATTTAGCTCAGTAGTGCCGCACCTGTCTCAAAAGCATGAGGTCCTAAGTTCGATCCCTGGTATGTTAGCAAAAAAAAATTGTTTTAAAAGTCCCTTCTACTGTACAGATTCTACTTTAGGGAACTACCCAATACTGACTTAGGTTGTTAGAATTAAATGCATACATGAGCAGGTAGAACTGGAATTTTTTTTTTTTTTTTTTTTTTTTTTG